GTCACAGTCTTTGCAATTACTTGCTATGCATCAGAGACCTGAAAAACAACTAGGGAGGATAGAAGGAGAATTGATGCCTTTGAGTTGTGGTGTTAAAAAAAAATGAACAGGTTCATCCTGGAGAGGGTTAAACCAGGCAGCTCCTTGGAGGCAAGAATTCTGAAGTTTTGTCTGACATATTTTGGACATGTTGCAAGGAGGGATCAGTCCTTGGAGAAGGACATCATGCTTGGGAGTGTGGAGAGATAGCACAGGAGAGGAAGACCTTCTACGAGGTGGAGTGATTCAGTGACGGGGGTAATGGGAGTAGGTGTGTTGGATACAGTGAGACTGGCACAGGGTAGAGCAGGTTTTAGGACTGTTGTACATAGGGTCGCTATGAATTGCAAGCGACTTGACGGCACATAATAACAACAACCACAACAATCATCAGTTGCAAAATAATAACTATTTCTAAGCCTAACATAGACTAGAAAAGGCAGTATTTTTAATTTGTTATTTTTACAATCAAACTCAGGGGGTTTGATAAAGAAGTTCTTGTGAAAATGAGAATATATTTCGGCCAGCTTCTTTTGCTAGCTACTGTGCTTTTCTTTATAAATAGACTTTCATAATGCAATGACTGTACTTTTCTCAAACTTAGCCAATAATTTATATCACAAAAGACCTATCAATAGCTTTTTTGCCTTAATGTATTGTTCAAAATCATCAGAGAAAAAAAAATATAGTCCCTTTATTTTCTGGTTCTTGGTCATTGTTGTTATATACCGCCGAGTCGGAATTGATCCACAGCTGACCCTTCAGTGGGTTTCTAGGGGCAGTAATTCTCATGGGAGGAGATTGTCCATCTTTCTTCTGGGGCACAGCTGGTTAATTCAAACCATGTGCCTTTGGGTCTGCAGTACAACTTCTTACCCACTAGGCCACCAGAGCTCAATATAATAGGACATTGAAAGGTCAAATTGACATAAAACCAAACAACAAACTCTGTAATGGAGTAGATTCCTACTCATGAAGACCTTTTATCAGGTTTCCAAGGGTATAAATCTTTACAGAAAGAGACTGTCTATCCATCTCCTATAGGGCAGGTGGTAGGTTTGAACAGCCAGACTTCTGTTTAGAAGCTCAACACACAACACACTAAACTAACATCTTAACTCATTTTCTTCAAGTTAGAATTGCCTCATAGTTGGGTTTCTGAGGCTATGAATTACACAGGTGAAGTCAAACCACCAGACAGGTATGGCCTTTGAGTTGGCAGCACAACTCCCTTCGAAGTTTCAAGAGCAGTAGCAACCACATTCGAGTGGATTGAGGCACTAGGGTACATTTACGCAGTGGAATACTACGCAGCTCTCAGGAGTAAGGATTTTGTAAAGTACTACGTCACTTGGGAGGGACTGGAGACCATTATGCTGAGTGAATTTGGTCCCATAAGGACAAATACTGTATAAAACTGTTATTGTAGAATGAGCATGGGGATCCAAGGGGGAGAGGGAGAGAACAGAGGGGTGAGGATAGGGGGGAGGATGGTTAATCATACGCTTGCACAATTTAATAGGGAGGGGGTGGTGAAGAAACAGGAAAGATCTAGTATGAAAAACAATGTGTAAGGACTTTTTAAGTAAACCAGTATTTAAAAAAGAAAGAAACAAAGAAAGAAAGAAAAACCCTGAATTTAGTTTAAAACCTGAATTTAGTTAAGTGCTGGAGACAGAATCTGTGGCCATTCCGCCTGCTGGTCTCTAAATTTACTTCAGGTTTGTTTGCATATATGAATTAAACGAGCATTTTAAAAGCATGGACATGATCATATTTGCATCGTTATGTAACTTGAGAGGCGAAAATAAGCACATTCCTCTGGGTTCTGAAGCTCTATATCAAATCAAGCATTTTCTGTGTGCACAGGTGAGTTCTTCTTATCAGATAGAAGCCCGTCATAAAATAAAAAAAGCCTGTCATAAAAGCATCTTCCTTGGACTTCGTTCTTTGATTTAAAAAACCCTTATCTACCTGAATAATAAGGTAATTATTAACGCTAAAAGACAAGAGATAGCAAATGCAACATAAACGTCTGTGGCTTTTTAAAGCCCTATTCTTATGTATGAGGCTGGCAAACCCTTCCTCTACTTTGAAGAGAGAGGAGCGGGACGGAGATTAAACTTTTCAACTGGGACCCCTTTCAGCAGAGCTGAAAAGAGGATTCTGGCCCTTCCCCTCCAGTGTTCCTCATAACCCTCTCTCCCCTTCTTAGGAATGAAACACAATATCTTAAGCAAACTGAGCTCAAAGAGGCTGGTCATTGGCTCCCATTGTCCTCGATAGCGCAGTCCCGCCCCCTTGGCTTCTGCTGACAAGCTGTTTATATTTTTGTAAGGGCCACCCTTTAACTCCGCAGCCGGATGACTATAATGGGCCCAATTGTCTGCAGGCTGCAGGGAGCCGAGTCCCCACGTCGGAGGAGGCAGGGGTCTGTCTCACATGCACAAGAGTGGCCGTTATGGAGCACGGGTAAGGGGGTTTCTCATCATGCAATGATTATTTGGGGGGACGAGCTGGTTAATCTTGGACACTGTTTCGGGGAAACGAGCAGTGAGCGGGTTACTAGCTTTCTTCTGGCTGTAACTGACTATAAGAGACTGAGTGAAAAGACCTCTTAGTGATGTTTGCAGAATGGAGCTAGGAAGCAAAAAACCTGGGGGGAGGATGAAACCAGTTTTGATATGAAACCAACACGGAGTGCGAGAAAACATAAGGCTATTTCCAGTGATGTTGGTAAGACTCAAATGTTGCTTTATTTTCCAACTCGGCTTCTCACAGCTAGGAATTTAGTGGTACCGCTTTGAGGTTTCTGCATGCCAGCTGTTTCCCCGTGTCGCCCTATTTGAAATGGTCTGATAGCTACTAGAATTTTCAAAGGGCAAAGCATAGTAGTCTTATGTGTCATAAACAGGTCCATTCAGAAATGTGGGAACGGTTTAGAGTGGGCAAGCTGTAAAGTTTTACTGCTCCATAAAAGTGCTCAAAGGGTACAGAGGCTGTCTGCCTCGGGACTGAGGAATGAGCTATGAGCCCCGGGCGGTTCACAGCGTTTGTCCTTGACTATCCAAGTGAGAAGACATGCAGCCTTAGAGGATGCCTGTGAGAGAGACCCTGAAAGGGCTGCGCCAACCTTGCCTCGGGGTTCTGTGTGGTTTTCGCCTTGTAATTGAAAGGGGGTGAAACGCTGTTGAGGCAACAGTCTTCAGGGTCTAATTCCAGCATCCTGGATGCCTGGATGTCGTCACCCACAGGGGCACGCATGACAGTGTGAGGGGGATTGCAGTCCCCTAGAGCTTCAAAGGAGAGGAGCTCTGGAGCAAAACATCAAAGACCCTGAGAACTGCTTTGAAAAGTTCCGTCATGCTGCTGAACACAAACAGCATTTGGGCAACTCTCTTTGATTTGTGGGTGTGTGTCTGTATTTGTGTGAGTGTATGTGTGCTAACAAAAGTTATCTGTAGATGCTGAAACTGGAATTTCATTGTCACGTGCCACAACTACCATCTGCCCTTTGAATTCTTAGAATTTATTTTGTTGTTGAGAGTATGTATAGCAAACCATATACCAATTTAACAGTTTCTACATATACAATTTAGTGATATTGGTCACAATGTTGAAGTTGTGTGTCTGTTCTCACCCTCCTGTTGGAAGCTGTTCCTCCCTCGTGGACATATACTCATTGTCCCTCTATTCTTATCTATTTTTTTTAATTGTTATCACCCCATAGAGATAGTCCTTTAAGAGCATGCTACTCAAGACTGGCCCTTTTTACTAGTTCAACTTAACTATTTGGTTTTATGAAGATACCAGGGGAGACTTTTGAGTTGAGGTTTAAAGATTATCAGTAATAGTTTCAGGAGCTTATAAACCCTCTAACCCTCCAGAAAGTCTGGAGATCATGGGGCTTTGAAATTGTGTTCTGCAAATTTCCCCTTTTGATCAGGGTTCTTCTATGGGATCTTTTATCAAAATGATCAGTAATGGTGCTGGGCATCATCCCAGTGCCTCTGGTCTCATGGCAAAGGAGGCAGTTAGGACATCCCATGCCCTCCATGGTGTTAGTTAGCAGGAGTAGGGACTCTATGAACAGCCAAATTGTACCCTGTACCCTGCCCCATTTTGTGCCATCCTCCTCCTATGTTTGATTCTCCTTTCTCTGTTGTTCCAGCTAAATAAAGACCAATTTTATTCCTTGTTGGCCCCATGCACTACGCAGAAAACTAGGATCTAGAATAGAAACATTAAACATACTATTTGGCCGGTTAACTGGATGTCCCATGAAACCATGATCATAAACCCCCAAACCAAGGAACCAAATGTCATGGTTTGATTGTACCAAACATCCTTAGCAGGTCTAGTGGCGAGAAGTTGTACTGCAATCCCAAAGGCATACAGCTCGAATCCACCAGATGCTCCTCTGGAGAAAGAAGGGTGATATCCTCCAGTGCCAGTTGGGGGGAAGGTGTCAATATCCTTAGAAGCTACTTTGGCTTTTTGTTTTGGTTTAAAAGAAATTGTAATAAGATTTATTAAACAACTTTTGCCAATTCATGTTTTTACACATATACAGCTTATAGCTATTCTAATACTAAACTGTTCCTTAATTAATGGAACTTTACCATCATCATTAAATCCTATCTGCTTTTTCTCATCTCTCTCGCCACTGGTACCCATAAAACCTTGGACTCTGTGCATTTGCTTTTTCCTATCTTTTTAAGTAAGTGAAGTTATACAACACTTTTTTTTTCTCTTGTGATTGTCACATTTCATTCAGCATAATGTCATCAAGCTCCATCCATACGGTAATTTGCACCAAGACTTGATTCCTTCTACTGGTTGAGTAATATTCCATTGTGTGTGTGTGTGTGTGTGTGTGTGTGTGTGTGTGTATATATATATATAATTTCATTTGTCTATTGACGGACATTCCACTTTTGTCTGTTGTAAATAGTGCTGCAATGCACATTGGCTTACAAGTATTTTTTGAGGCTCTGCTTTCAAGTCTTTTGGTTATAAGCTTGTGAGTAGAATTGCTGGCTCATATGGTAGTTCTAAGATTTGTAAGGAGCCACCAGGCTGCTTATCGTAACGGCTGCACCACTTGGATCCTCACTAATAGGTAAGAGTTCCACTTTCCCCACATCCTTGCCAACATTTTTAATTTTCTGGTTGTTGTTTTAGTTGGGGTTTTTGTTGAATAAAATGTTGCTGTTGTTGTTATGTGCCCTCGGGTCGTTTGCGACTCATAGCGACCCTATGCACAACAGCCCTAAACCCTGCTCTATCCTG